AAGCCGAATATAACAGTTGAGCGACCGTGCTAGAACCACGGAACTCGGGAATGCCTAACACCTTCTCCCGGGTTAACAGAATTCCTTATCCGGATTTCTGGTACGCAGACTGTAATATAGAGTCATTCTTTTCCTCGATTCGGGATTAAAATTGGTGACTTGGGACACCCTAAATCTCCCAGGTGGCGACTCTGAAATAAATAAACAAATCCCGTTTCGATTGTCCTTTAATTGGAAAAAACTCCCTGGCACCCTCTCGGGTGCGTAAAAAGGAGGTGTGACAACTATATGCACCGACCTCAGATCTTGTACAATTAAGTACAGAAGTGTAGTATGAGTACATAAACAACATGTACCCAGTAAATATCCAGTCTAACCTCGAAGAAGTAGTGACGAGGCGTCGACTTAGACACTTACTAGGGACTAACAATAATATAATAAAAGAGTTATGCTAAGCATGGATATCATGAATAATACTAAAAGCTCAATAACAGAAAGTGATAAGCTTTTCTTTCACAAATATGATTTCAACTTCAGTCATATCATTTAATAGCTTACATTTCAAGGCATTTAAGCAGTATAAATCATGGAGAGTTCATGCGCAAATTATGCCGAGGTCGTACGACCCGATCTGATATAATATTTAAACTGTACATTGCTAGAGGGTCGAACGATGCGTACCATAGATGCATCTATTTACTATCGAGGAGCTCGACTTGATCACAAATAACAATTATTTTTAAGAAAACACAAATTTCTCATTTACAGTCAAGAATCTCATACAAACCTTCAAGTAAGTGAATTTAACCTTAAACAATTATTTTTATCATTTTCTAACATGACTTAAGTGATTATATTAGCAAGTAAGGACGCAAACATTTCAAATATAACATGATACAGGTCTTAAACTACCCAGACAATAGCATAATAGTAGCTATATACTAACTCCCATCACCTCGTACGTACGTAGCCCCCACGAATAGGTACAAATATTTATTTAATTCACCTATGGGGTTAATTCTCTCTTATAAGGTTAGAAAGGAGACTTACCTCGTCTCAAAGCCTACTTTCCAATTCAAGAATGCGCTCAAACCTCCAAATTCGATGCCAAACGACTCGAAACTAGTCAAACATTACATAAACTAATCAATTTATGCTCAAAAGTTCATATCTCCACTATTAAAGTGATTACCCACCCCAAATTGAAAAATTCCTAAAATTCACACCTGGGTCCACGTGCCCGGATTTTGGAAATTTTTGAAGAAAGTTGTTACCCATAGCCTTAGGAACATAATTATATAATTTTTACTAAGTTCCATAACCAATTTCGTGGTCAAATCTCATTTTTATCAATAACCTAGGTTTTCATCTAAACCCTTAATTTTCACTAATTTTTACATGGTAATCTACCCATAATCTATGAATTTAACTCATGTTGTGTAGAAATTACATACCTCAAAGTGCTAGGTGAAAACCCTCTTTCAAAAGCTCCAAAAATCACCTAAGAGATGAAGTGAAATGAAATAAATGGCCTAAGTCCCGCATTAAAAGAGCTGGACAGAGTCCTCTGATGTCGCATTTGCGACACTAGGTTCACAAATGCGAACCGTGGGCTTCAGCTGCTGGGGTTGCAAATGCGACCAAAGAGTCACAAATGCGACTTCTGCTGGGATCGCAAATGCGGCATAAGTGTCACAAATGCGAACACTGCCTGGGTCGTGATCCTTCACAATTGCAAAGCCCTCATTGCAAATACGAACGCAAATGCGAGGTTTGCATTTGCGAACAATCTCTCACATTTGCGAGACATGCAGTTGTTGCCAAGAACACCAGACATATGGTGTGTTTTCAACTCCTTCCACACGTCTGAAACTCACCCGAGCCCTCGGGGCTCCATACCAAATGCTCATGCAAGTCTGAAAACATTATACAAACTTGCTAGCGTGATTGTAACACCGAAATAACATCAAAAACCATGAATATGACGCCAAAACGCATGAATTTACTCATGAACTCTAAAAACATCTAAATCACTTCCGCGCGTCCGATTCCTATCAAATCAACTCGGAATGACGCCAAACTTTGCGTGCAAGTCTTAAATGACATTAAAGACCTACACTAACTTCCGGATTTGAAATCTAAACCCACTATCAAAAAGTCCACCCTCGGTCTAACGTTCCAAAAACTTCAAGTTCTAACTTTTGCCAAATGACTCCGAAATGACCTACGGTCCTACGAATCCACTTTCGGGCGCACTACTAAGTCTAGAATCACCATACGGAGCTATTCTCATGCTCGGAATCCCAAACGGACGCCTAGAATTTAAAAATCCATTTTAATCCAAACTTATGGAATTTGCTCAAATTGCCAACTTTCACTATTAGGCGCTGAAACGCCCCGGGTCATCCAAAACCCAATCCGAACATACGCCCAAGTCCGAAATCATCATACGAACCTATTGGAACCATCAAATCCCAATTCTGAGGTCGTTTACTCAAAATATTAACCGAAGTCAAACTTGGACTTTTAAGCCATCCTTAGGGAACCAAGTGTTCCGATTTCAACCCAAACTCTTCTAAACTACCCATCCCGAAAAGTCATAAATCAGTAAAAGCATGTATATGAGGTCTTATTTAAGGTAACGAGGTTCTAGAAAGTATAACGACCGGTCGGGTCGTTACATTCTCCACATCTTAAACGAGCGTTTGTCCTCGAACGAGTTTAGATTCAAACCTGAAGTGCTGAATAAGTGTGTATATCTGCTCCGCATGTCCTCCTTGACTCCCAGGTCACCTCCTCGACTAGTTGGCCCCTCCACTGAACCTTTACTGCGGAAATCCTCTTGGACCTCAACTAGCAATCCTGTCTAGCAACAATGGCAACTGGATCCTCCTCATAACCCAAGCTCTCATCTAGCTGAATAGTGCTGAAGTCTAACACATGTGACAGGTCGGCGTGATACCTTTGGAGCATAGACACGTGAAATATCGGATGAACCCCTGATAGGCTGAGAGGTAAAGCAAGATCATAAGTGACCTCCTCAACTCGCCTTAACACCTCAAATTGGCCTATAAACTCGGGGCTTAACTTGCACTTCTTCCCAAATCTCATAATACCTTTCATCGGCGTGACTTTCAAGAGAACCTTTTCACTGACCATAAATGATACATCACGCGGCTTCTGATCCGCGTAACTCTTCTGTCTGGACTGTGCTGTGCGAAGTCTCTCCTGGATCAACTTTACCTTTTCCAAGGCATCCTTCACTAAGTCAGTACCATATAACTTAGACTCACTCAAATGGAGCCATCTCAATGCTGGACTGATAACTGTTGTTGTAAGCAAACTTGATCAAGGGTAAGAACTGATCCCACTATCCCCCAAAGTCAATCACATATGCTCTGAGCATGTCCTCCAATATTTGAACTATCCACTCTGATTGCCCGCCGGTCTGTGGATGGAATTCTGTGCTGAGCTCTTCACAGGTCCCAAACTCACTCTGTACGGCTCTCTAGAAATGTGAAGTGAACTGAGGGCCTCTATCTGATATGATGGAAATAGGCACGCCGTGCAACTGAACTATCTCCCGAATATAAATCTGGTACAACTTCTCTGAAGTATATGTAGTCACAACCGGAATAAAGTGTGCTGACTTGGTCAACCTATTGACAATGACCTAAACTGCATCAAACTTCCGCAAGGTCCGCGACAACCCAACTACAAAGTCCATAGTAATGCGCTCCCATTTCCACTCAGGTATAGTCATCTGCTAAAGTAGGCCACCTGGCCTATGGTGCTTATACTTGACCTGATGGCAATTTAGGCACCTAACTACATATTCCACTATGTCTTTCTTCATCTGCCGCCACCAATAATGCTGCCTCAGGTCGCAATACATCTTCGTATCACCTGGATGAATGGAATACCGAGAATTGTGTGCCTCCTCTAGAATCCTCTCCCTCAAGCAATCGACATTAGGAACACATAGACGACCCTGGAGTCGCGGAACACCATCCTTGCCTATAGAAACCTCCTTGGCACCACCCTGTAATACCGTCTCTCTGAGGACTGCCAAGTGCAGATCATCAAATTGTCGAGCCTTGATCTGCTCCAATAGTGAAGATTGGTAACAACACATGCAAGAACTCAGTTGGACTCTGAAATATCCAACTTCACAAGTCTGTTAGCCAAGGACTGAATGTACAAATCTAGTGGCCTCTCCTCCGCTGAAATGAATGCCAAGCTACCCATACCTTCTGCCTTCCTGCTTAAGGAATCCGCGACCATATTTGCCTTGCCCGGATGATAAAGAATGGTGATGTCATAATACTTCAGTAACTCAAGCCATCTACGCTGCCTCAAATTGAGATCCCTTTACTTGAACCAATGCTGTAAGCTGCGATGATCGGTGTAAACCTCACATGACACCCAGATAGATAATGCCTCCAGAGCTTAAGAGAATAAATAATCGCGGCTAACTTTAGGTCGTGCACATAGTAATATTTCTCATGAATCTTCAGCTGACACGAAGCATAAGAAATAACTCGCCCTCCTGCATCAATACACAACCCAAACGTACGCGTGAATTGTCGCAATACACTGTATACATCCCCAAACTAGAAGGAAACACTAGAACCGGTATTGTAGTCCAAGCTGTCTTGAGCTTCTGAAAGCTTGCCTCACAATCATCAAACCAATGGAACGAAACACCCTTTTGGGTCAATCTATTCAGAGGTGCTGCAATGGATGAATAACCCTGTACAAACCGACAACAATAACCTTCTAACCCCAGAAAACTCATGATCTCAGCCACCAAAGTGGGACGAGGCCAACTCTGAACTGCCTCAATCTTCTTGGGATACGCCTTAATACCTTTGCCTAATACAACATGCCTCAAGAATGCCACAAACTCTAGCCAAAACTCACATTTGGAGAACTGAGCATACAACTTCTGCTCCCTCAAGGTTTGAAGCATCACTCTTAAATGTTGCTCGTGCTCCCACAGGCTACGTGAGTAGATCAAAATATCATCAATGAAGATAATGATGAACGAATAAATATAAGTCCTAAACACCCTATTCATCAAATCCATAAATGCTAACACAACATTAGTTAAGCCGAAAGACATCACCAGAAACTCATAATGGCCATATCTAGTACGGAAAGTAGTTTTCGGGACATCTGGGTCCCGAATTTTCAGCTGATGATACCCTGATCTCAAGTCGATCTTAGAGAACACCCTAGCACCCTGCAACTGGTCAAACAAATCATCAGTGCGCGGCAACGGGTATTTTTTCTTGATGGTGACTTTGTTCAATTGGCGGTAATCTTTGCAGATCCGTATAGTCCCATATTTTTTCTTCATAAATAACACTGGTGCACCCCAAGGTTATACACTTGGTCCCATAAACCCCTTTGCTAATAACTCCTCAAGCTGATCCTTCAACTCCTTCACTCTCTCAGAGCCATGCGATACGGTGGGATAGATATAGGCTGGGTACTTGGAGCCAAATCAATACAGAAATCAATATCACAATCCGGTGGCATGCCTGGAATGTCAGAAGGGAATACATCAGCAAATTCTTAGACCACTGGCACTGAATCAATCATCGAAGACTATACAGTGGTATCCCGAACATAGGCTAGATAAGCCAAACAACCCTTCTCGACCTTATGTCGAGCCTTCAAAAAAGAGATAACCCAACTAGATGTACTAACGGATGAACCCTTCCACTCCAATCTCGGCAACTCTGGCATCGCTAAAGTAACAGCCTTGGCATGGCAATCAAGGATGGCATGATATGGGGATAAACAGTCCATTCCCAGGATGACCTCAAAGTCGGTCATATCAAGCAACAAAAGGTCCACTCTCATCTCGTAACCATAGAATGTGACCATATAGGACCAATAGATCCGATCCACAACCACAGAATCACCCACAAGAGTGGAAACATAAACCGAAGTACCCAAGGACTTACGAGGAATATCTAGTAAATGAGCAAACAGAGAGGATACATATGAATATGTAGATCCTAGATCAAATAACACTGAAGCATCCCTACCACAGACAGAAATAATACCTGTGATCACGGCATTTGAGGCCAATGCATCTGGTCTGGCCGGAAAAACATAGAATCTGGCTAGAGCGCTGGCTGCCTGGCCTCCGCCTGACTAAATAGTAGCTGGCTGACCTCCCCCTGCCTGGCCTCCACCTCTAGGATGGCCCCTACCAGCCTGTCCTCAGCCTCTGGGTGGCCAGATAGCTGGTGCTGTAATCATCAGCTACTGACCTGCTGCACCGCCTTGCCCCAAAGTCTGCGAAAGAATCTCCTCATGTGACTGAGATCTCTACACTCGAAACAGCCTCTCAGTGCGGTGATCTGCGGCCTTGATGTCTGACCCTAATGGCCTGTAGATCCACTGGAAGAACCCTGGATGGCTATGGGTGGTAAGAACTCTCTGGTATGACGCTGAAATAGGGTCACGCCAGAGCACCCCGAGGAGGTGTTGGTGCTGAATATGTAGGCCCTGCTAGGCTGATCCCTCCCAAACTGATAAGCCCTTAGCCGGGCACCTCGAAACTCTCCAGAGAAATGGGTCCTCTTGTCCTACTGCATTTGCTCTCTACCTCTCTGACGGTAGCCCTCAATCCTCCGAGCAATCTCCACTACCAGTTGATAAGAAGTCTTCATCTCAACCTCCTGGGCCATATTGGCCCTAATACCGGAGTGCAACCCTACAACAAACCTCCGCACTCTCTCTATGTCAGTAGGAAGTATCATAAGTGCATGGCGAGACAACTCAGTAAAACCTTGCCTCATAATCGGTCACTAATATTTGACCCTGCTCAAGCTGCTCAAACTGATACCGCAATTGTTCCCTCTCGGAGGGTGGAATGTACCTATCCAAGAAAAGCTTTGTGAACTGGCCCCAAGTCATGTGAGGAGAACCCGCTGGTTTGCCAAGAAGATAAGACTGCCACCATCTACGGGCCCTGCCCTCCAATTAAAAAGTAGTAAAATCCACTCCATGAGACTCCGATATCCTCATGTTGTGCAGTCTGTCCCTGAACCTATCAATGAAGTCCTGGGCATCCTTATGACGCTCGCCTCCGATGACAGGAGGGTGTAGCCTAGTCCATCTGTCCAATAACTTCTGCGTCTCGCCGTCTGTAGTTGGTCTAGGCTCAGGTACAACTGCTTCAACTGGCTGGGCCCCATCCGCGAGTAGTGTACCTGGAGTGTGATATACTGCAGCTGCATGCCTAGGAGCCTGAGCAGTAGGGGTCTGTGCTCCCCTCCCGCCTGGGATGTGGCTGGGTCTGCTGGAAATAAACCAACCAGGGTCATAGAATCCATGAACCGCAACATACGACCCATGACCTCCTGAAAGCCTAGTGCTGTCATGAAATTTACTGGGGCAGGCTCTGCTGCGGGCACCTCACCCTACTACTCAATGATGGGATCCTCTACTGGATTTACTGGTGGTGCAACCGGGGGTAACTCTGGGACGTCTTTGTCCCGTACCTCAGACCGGTGCCCTCCCCCAACCTTTGCTTTGGCCTCTTGCAACGGGGGGAGCAGCTTCTCCCGGGTTCAGAATACCTGCTGCGCGCGTTCTCACCATCTGTGAGAGAATAAGAGAGAGAATTTAGTATACCTTCAACTACACGATAGAAGATGAATAAATAGTAGTTTCCTAACATCCCAAAGCCTCTCGAAGATAAGTACAAACATCTCCGTACCGATCCGCAAGACTCTATTAGGTCTGCCCATAATTTGTGAGACCTACGTGAACCTAGTGCTCTAATACCATGTTATCACAACCTAATTTCATTATAGGCCGTGATGGCGCCCAACACCATTATTAGGCAAGCCAACACCGATCAACTAGTGCGTTCCCGTTTAAATAAATTATTAAGTAGTAACATTTCTTTATTTGTTAAAAAGATTTAGAAATTTGCAAGTGTATCATAAATAAGCGGAAGCAATAAGTACTATTCAGAATCATATAAGCAAGCCCAAAATCATAAGTCTACTAGTGAGTGTGCCAAGACCTGGTGTTACAAGTGTGTGGGCAATCTAGTAGAATATACAAAAGAATACTGGTAGCCTACTGTCTGAGAGGAAATAGACAGAAAAGTAAAACATAGGGAAGACTCCAGCTGCTGCATAATGGCTCGGAAGTCAGCTCACTGTGAAGTCTCGAAGTGGGGATCAACTACACACGCCGGACGGGTAACTAGATGCACCGGCCTCAGATCCTATACAATTAAGTACAAAAGTGTAGTATGAGTACATAAACAATAGGTACCCAGTAAGTATCCAGTCTAACCTCGAAGAAGTAGTGACGAGGGGTGGACTTAGATACTTTCTATGGGCTAACAATAATATAATTAAAGAGTTATGCTAAGCATGGATATCATGAATAATACTAAAAGCTAAATAACAGAAAGTGATAAGTTCTTCTCTCACAAATATGATTTCAACTTCAGTCATATCATTTAACAACTTACATTTCAAGGCATTTAAGCAGTATAAATCATGGAGAGTTCCAAATAATTATCATGCGTAAATTATGTCAAGGTCTTACGGTCCGATCCGACATAATATTTAAATTGTGCACTGCCGGAGGGTCGAACGACGCGTGCCATAGATGTATCTATTTACTATCGAGGCGCTCGGCCCGATCCACAAATAACAATTATTTTTAAGAAAACACAAATTTCTCATTTACAGTCAAGTATCTCATACAAACCTTCAAATAAGTGAATTTAACCTTATACAATTCTTTTTAGCATTTTCTAACATGGCTTCAGTGATTATATTAGCAAGTAAGGATGCAAACATTTCAAATATAATATGATATGGGTCCTAAACTACCCAGACAATAGCATAATAGTAGATACGTACTAACTCTCGTCACCTCGTACGTACGTATCCCCCACAAATAGGTACAAACATTTATTTAATACACCTATGGGGTTAATTCCCTCTTACAAGGTTAGAAAGGAGACTTACCTCGTCTCAAAGACTACTTTCCAATTCAAGAATGCGCTCAAACCTCCAAATTCGATGCCAAACGACTCGAAACTAGTCAAACATTACATAAACTAATCAATTTATGTTCAAAAGTTCATATATCCACTATTAAAGTGATTACCCACCCCAAATTGAAAAATTCCTAAAATTCACACCTGGGCCCACGTGCCCGGATTCCAGAATTTTTTGAAGAAGGTTGTTACCCATAGCCTGAGGAACATAAATATATAATTTTTACTAAGTTCCATAACCAATTTCGTGGTCAAATACCATTTTTATAAAAAAACCTAGGTTTTCATCTAAACCCTTGATTTTCAGTAATTTTTACATGTTAATATACTCATAATCTATGTATTTAACTCATGTTGTGTAGAAATTATTTACCTCAAAGTGCTAGGTGAAAACCCTCTTCCAAAAGCTCCAAAAATCGCCTAAGAGATGAAGTGAAATGAAATAAATGGCATAAGTCTCACATTATATGAGCTGGACACAACCCTCTGATGTCGTATTTGCGACACCAGGTTCGCAAATGCAACAAAAACCTCAATGCGAATCCTGGGCTTCACATGATGGGGTCGCAAATGCGACCAAATAATCGCAAATGTGACTTCTGCTAGGATCGCAAATACGGCATAAGTGTCGCAAATGCGAACACTGCCTGGGTCGGGCTCCTTCACAATTGCAAAGCCCTCATCACAAATGCGAGGTTCGCATTTGTGAACAATCTTTCGCATTTGCGAGACCTGCATCTATTGCCAAGAACACCAGAAATCTGGTGTGTTTTCAACTCCTTCCACATGTCTGAAACTCACCCGAACCCTCGGGGATCCACACCAAATACTCAAACAAGTCTAAAAACATCATACAAACTTGCTCGCATGATCGGAACACCGAAGTAACATGAAAACCCACGAATTGGACGCCAAAATGCATG